TATTGGTATAGAGTAAGAGAGGGAGTAATGGGTGGGATTAATATACTCAAGTACATACTACATCCATACATACACATATTAGCCAGTTGTGAATGCAACTGATGAGCTCATATCACCAGGTATGCCAATGATTTCGATGAAATTTGTAGGAATATTTTAATACAGCTGTTTTCGAATTCAATTTATCTTTATAATGTTTTTTACTTGTTTCAATAATTTTTTATTTAAATTAAATCTCTGTCGCTCGCGAAATGTATTGTAATTTCAAATGCAATTAAGAAAAACAAAAATTTAAAGCAAAATAACTGACTTCCCGGAGAATAAATTTCTACTAACGGATAATTTTTTTTTTAAGAATATGCTGCCCTAGACGATATTTTGTTATCTTTACAACATGGACGTGGCGTGGCCACCATATGATTCAGACCATAGCGCGCGCTATGTACATCTACTGTCTTTGGGTTCTCTTAAACTGCAACTTCTATATCTTCAGCGTCTGTTTAGCTTTCCGCATTATTTGCATGGTTTTTATTTTTAACTACAGAAATTTGGTTTCACTGCAACTTAAAAATTGGCCAGAATTTTAGACACACTCGTGCATCTACCAATTGAATGTATGCAAAATTCATACCTAAAAAATAATGAGTACGCACATTTCCATGAACTATTCAAAATAAATATTCAAATCGAAAAGAATTCAGAGACCACAGACTTTCCAAGACACAATTGAATTACCTAGGCGAGGACCATTGAAAGTGATCAATTTTTGTGAGTAGTGCATTTTTACATACAGAAAGCTTTTCTGGTTGCAATTAATTCTCAAATGCATTTGTTAAGAAGCATGTATTTTTTTGTTGTAAAGAACATACATAGATAGAAGTATATGCACCGCGACTAGTGGCCTAGTGTCCTTATAGAACCTAGCAGGCTAAAGGGTTTGATTGATTTGACGTGATTATGCCCCGGTCGAATGACTCCTTGTTTTTTGTCTTCTTCCCACGACAGCTCCACATTCGAACAAAAGGTACACCGGTGCTCCGGGTCATTCACAATTTATTTATTTCTTTTGGTATTATGGCCGTCTATAAGTTTTCTTCCTGACCCCATCCCGTAACAAGCATACCAGTACCTGTTTCTTATATTCTTTTTTCAACTCAGGTCCAGTAGGAGAGGTTGAGGCGACTTCTCTGTCAAATCTATCTCCTATTTCCTTCAATACGTGTAGGTCACGGAACCCAGTTGAGCTGAACATTGCTCCGTTCGCCCACTTTATTGAGATTATGGTCACATTCTCATACCATATACGACTTAATTGTACATGATGAAATTGCTTTCAGTGCGGCCTGATTGTCACTGCAAATTACTACATGTTGGTTAACGGTCTTCCCAATGAACATACTACTCATGTGAAATTTTTAAAATAGACGGCTGTGGTAGCCGAATAGTTGGCACTGAGTGCTGCCTTTCGGAAGGCTCGGGTTCAAGTCCTGCCATCGTTCTAACATCCAAAATGTTATTGAAAATAATTTAAATAAAAATTAAGTTAAACTTTCTAAATGTGGTTGGCACTCGACACGAAATTTCAACCCCTCCGACTGTATTTCTGACATAAAATAAAGATCCTCATAAAAAACCATCAGCCGTTCGCAGGCGACTTACTATGAACTTTGTTGGATAAAGATTCTGTGAAGATCAATCTAATCAAATTTATAAACCGAATTGTTGATTTTACCATTTGCCAACTGCTCTGTTTCTCCTTGGTGAAATAAAAAAAAAATTTTCTCAGATCATAAATTTTTATTGATTTTCAAAATTAACTTTTTTTTTTATTGGTTCCAGACATTTTTGTCTCAAAAGCATCAGACAATCTATTTTTGAAAGATTTGTTGTGCAATGCAAACATTTATACAAAAGTTTCTGATATAGAAAGTGAACCTTGAAGTTTTTTGATCTTCGTACCAGATTTGCAATTCTTTTTTGCAGTGTCATATCATGGCTTAAATGAAAATTAAGTATCATCGAATATCATACGAGGTGTGACCATTAAGTATTGAGAATGATTCTATAAAAGCCGTATATTTCTACAACTCTGCCATCGCCTTTAAAGTAGTCCACTTGGACAGCTATACAACGATTCCAGCGCGTTTTCCATGCTTCGTGACATTTCTGGAACGCTTCGTATGGGATGTCCGCGAGTACCCTCGTCACGGCCGCCTGGATCTCCTCAATCGACTCAAAGTGGGCTCCTTTGACCACCGATTTCGTTCTAGGAAGCAAAAAAGGTAACAGGGGGACATATCGGGCGAATAAGATGGTTGTTGCAACACGGCGATCCATTTAGAGGCCAAATACTGGGACATGCTGATGGCGGTGTGGCACGGCGTGTTGTCGTGATGAAGAATCCAGTTACGAGCGATGTCTGGGCGGACCCTATTGACTCGTTTTCGCAATCTTTCGAGTACTTGTCGACAGTGGACTTGACTTACGGTTTGCCCCGGTTGAAGAAATTCTTTGGAGACGATCGCACGGCTATCAAAAAAGGCAATAATGATCGTTTTCACATTGGACTTTCTCATTCGACCTTTTCGACGGGGCGCGTGCGGAGACAACCATTGTGAGCCTTTGCGTTTGTTTTCCCATGCACTTTTACAATTTTAGCGTACGTTTACGAAGGTGTTTCGGCTAATTTGGCGCAAAATTTTATCGCGACGCGTTGCTCTTCATTTCGTTTCTACATTTTCGCGACGAGCACCACGAAGACACGTTTAGAGAAGGGAAAGGGAATTTCAAGATCGCAGGGTTACCATAATCGCGGCAATATAATCAATAACATTTCTCTCTATTATTTCACTCAGATTTTTTCAACACAAGATCATTTTCAATATTGCGTTGTTCCTATTATATACTCATATGTGTAACGCTTATGTCATTCGATGTCATTTCAAAACAGGACCTATAATGTTACTTATCAGTTTATTGTTGGCACTAGTACAAGACAGGTACCTCATCAGTCAAATGCAATAAAAGCTGGCAGAAATTCTATAAAGCTGCTTTCGAGATGATTTTGTCAATATTATCATAAGCTCTCTTTGAATTTAAAAAGCACAAATCACAAGGTGCTTTTACTGCTAAAATGCATTAGGTCCAAGGCTTGACTTAGAATGTAACGATGAACAGGGCCACGCTTATTAGTTCCGTTTTTATCCTTGCTTGTAATTTTCAATTGAGTATCAAGTAAAAACATTTCCAAGGAAAAAATCACTCTCGGCATCCATCTCCGTCTAAAATTGTCACAGATAGCTCTATCAACTCCCAGTGGGCATCTCTGACTGAATTTTGCTTAGTTAAGTGAGGAAAATATAGCGTGAGAGTGTACACGAAAAGGCGTGATGTCGCAGCAGCTCGAACTAACGTATGGAGCGTCTTAGCGCATTTTTAGTCGAGGTCTTCAATTCAAAGCACACAAAATACTGCTTGTGCAAGAACCGACGCCGCTCGACCTTCACAACCGAGGTCGCTTCGCTCTATAGGTTCTCGAAACGTTCGAGCCAAATTTGGTTGAGCGCTGAGGCCCATTTCTGGCTCAATGGGTATTAAAACTAAAAAAATTTCAGCATTTGGAACGAAGAGCAACCTGAAGAGATTCAAGAGCTAACATTGAATCCAGATAATCAACGGTTTGGTGTTGTTTACCGGTTTCTTCAAAAATGATGCCGGTAAGAAGGTAACCGTCAGTGACCGTTATCGCGCCATTGCTAACCGACTATTTAATGCCTGAAATTGAAGCTCGTGAATTTTGGGACATTTGGTTTCAATAAGACGGTGCCACTTCCTACATATCGAATCAATCAATGGATTGAGAGAACACTTCGGTGAGCAGATGATTTAGCGTTATAGGCCGGTGCGGTGGCCACCAAGATCGTGTGATATCATACCGTCAGACTTATTTATTTGGGGATATGCACAGCCTTAAGTCTATGCGGACAATCGCGCTTCGATTCAAGCCTTGGAACAAAACATCAAGCGCATCATTCGTCAGTTACCAGTAGAAATGCTCGAAAGAGTAATCGAAAATTGGACTCAACGGCTGACCCTTTTGTGACGTAGCCGCGGCCAATATTAGAAAGAGCTATTCTTCAAAAAATAAATGCCAAAGAATTCTTTCGAATAATAATAAATATTCCCTAAAAAATTTGAATTTTCTTTTAAAAAATAGGGCACCTGGAAATGGCTTTATAAAACATGGATTTGGATGCTGTGCATGTATGTAAATATATGTATTTCAATAAAAATATGTATGGAAGTTTTGTATATACATATATATCAAAAAAACTTCAATTGCATTATGTTTCGTGATCTAATTTTAAAAAGAAAAAAGTGAAAGTGGCAGTTATTTTCATTTACATATGTATGTATGTTCAAGTGTTGAAATGTACCAAAAGGACTATAGATGTAGCGGCTAATTAATTTCATTGAAGCTTTTATAATGCGTGTAGTTTGTGTATTTTCAGAAAGTTTACGATGATTTTAAAGCTGAAATGTCGGTCGATCGGAAGAGTATAGTGCCCCACTGTGGGAAAAATGCATTTGCGAGCCGCGATATTAAGTTTTTCACATTCCTGAAGGATGAGACCTCCCAGTCCAAGTGAACATAAAATCTTAGCCTAGAAAAATCAGTCAGAAAATATATGTATGTGCATATAACTGTGATGTTCATATTGAGAGGAGAGAAATAGGGAAGGGTGGTACGAACAAGAATACCACTCTCACATATGTACATATACTCATATGTATTATTGTAAAACGCATGGCGTTGTTGTAAATGAGATAATCCTTAGTTCACTCTCTTTTAGCAAATAATATCCGAACAAATACTATTATTACCTATTTTTTAGTACTTAAGACAACGGAAAGTATTTTGTAAAAACTGTTAAGAGAAAATTTCTCTTTAAATATATCTATCAAATGTGAAGGTTATGATTTTTATTTGAAGCGTGAGTTTTTCCTAAAATGAAAAAAAAAATAAAAATTAATAATATTATTAATCAAAATGTTTGAACAACAGCAAATTGCAACTAAGTGAAATTGTAGAGTTATTGACAAAGAACAAATTTGTGCGTTAATTAAAGTAAAGACAGCCACAATAAGTACAGAAATTACATCGAAATTGCGTCGATTGAAAAAATGTATATAAAAATCATTAAAAACTTGCCTGACATTGTGAAAACGTAATAATTCGAAAGGTGGCGTAACATTTGACTTTCATTTAACCTTCGAAATTAACATTAAAGAGAGCGCCAACGCGTTAAACATACCATTGTTAGTATTTTCGTTATCGGAGAGTTTGCACGAAGCCAGGAGTTTACCTACTTTTAATGGAAGCAGCGAATATTCACTCACTAATTACTCGTATTTGAGAGATGTTAGCTTAGTATTGCAGTTGACTGCAGCAGAACATCAAAGTACAATACAAGCAGACTGCAAGGTAAGGCGTTAAAAGCAATGGAAACTTTGGTGACCCAAGGTGGGAGGGGATATTGATCAAACTAAAGAAAGAATTTGGAATAAAACTGAGTTTCTTTAATTTATGTACTAATGCTTGAAATGTGGAGGCTGGTAACATCGAAGAATTGCGTTATGAATTAACAAATATTTTAAGTTTAATGAATAAAAACTATTTTTCAGAGCCGGATAGTTCATATACACCAGAAAATAATGAAAAACTTTGATATTTACATTAATTATCTTCCAATTACTATCAAGTATCTTTTAATTCAAAATAATATTAAATCCATAAATACTTCACATACATTCAACTTAGAAAACAATTTATTAAAAGACATTAAATAATTTTCCATACAACTCTTTTAAAAGTAATATTCCTTATAATTTGAATAATAATAATAATTTTCCACAACCTTTTAACAATCATTTTAATAGGCGTAATGATCATATTAGTAATCGCAACAATCACAATAGAATAAGACATAAAGAGATTTTGATTATCGTAACAGAAATTGTAAAAATAGATTTTATTTCAGTAACAATAGGCAACAACAAAATCAAAATCCTTCACATTTTAACAGAAATTTTAGTAGTTATCCAGGGTAATGATATTATTGAGATGTCTAATCGATAGTGGTGCAGTTACTACTCTTGGTAATTATGATTTTTTACCAAAATAGGACTAAAACAAAAATTGAGAAAGACAATTTTATTAAAAACCCTAGTGGGTGATAATATTATAACAGCGAAAGTTGTAGTTAATGTCCCGAAATAATTTAATTTTAATTGCATATTTTGCACCCGATCGCACCTGTAAAATCACTTCATAGTATAAAACAAAGTCGCTTTTTCTGTCCCTTTGTCCCTTTGTATGTTTAAATCTTTGAAACTACGCAACGGATTTCGATGCGGTTTTTTTTAATAGATAGAGTGATTCAAGAGAAAGGTTTATATGTATAATAACATCCATTAAATAGTGGAGAAGTACTGTTATTTTTGAGGTTTTTAATGTGTTGTTGTAAATAATTACATTTTTTCCGCTTACATTGCAAACGCAGGCTGAACCCTATGAGTTTTATCAAAATCATGTCTACAGAAAAGTCCTTGATGGTATATGTCTATCTCCTTTGTCATTTACTTTTTACGACAAATAATGGCTAATTTTCGAAACAATTTTAACTAATACAGCATTTTTCCTTAACCAATTAAATATCTTGAATACATTGTTCATTTAATATAAATAGATCTATATAGCCCTTTACACCGTATGATTTAATTGAATATTTTCGAAGATATTACAGATTTAAAAATTGCGGAACGTAGCGTTTGCGGCGGTACCGGCCGGCCGCCCAGTACAGTAAATAGCGCGTCTGAGGCCGCGGTTTTCCAACCTTTGGCCACATGTCAATAAATTAGAGCTTAAAACTAAAATGAGGAGGTCGTCATCTTCACGAGAGAACAGGCTATTTCCGGAGATGCTGCTAAAAGTTGGCAATGGAGAGTTAACACAAAGTGATGGAAGGATTGACCTAAAAAACCTTTGCGTTTTGATAGACAACATCCAAGAGTTAGTCAACAATGTCTATCCTGACATTGATATCATAAGTTATAAGACAATATCTTGGTTTAAAGAAATAGCGATTCTGTCACCAACTAACAAACAAGTATATAAAATAAATAACTTGATTTTTTTAAAGATTGATGCGCCGACAAAAATATACCACTCGGTCGATACTGTTATCGATTTGGAAGAAGCTCTTCATTTTCCTACAGAATTTCCAAACTCTTTGAACCCGTCTGGACTGCCTCTTCACAAAATGGTGTTGAAAGCAGGTTGTCCGTTATTTTATTAAGAAACCTGAATCCACCTAAACTTTGCAATGGCATGCGTTTGCTGATAAAAATCATTGAAACTTTCATATTAGAGTGCACAATACCGGAGAAGATGTATGGATTCCCCGAATCCCTCTAATACCTTCGGATTTACCCTTCCAATTTAAACGTTTACAGTTTCCGGTAAATACATCTTTTGCAATGACCATTAATAAATCGCAGGGTCAAACCTTAACCGTTGCAGGCTTAGATTTGAGCGTTGACTGTTTTTCACATGGACAACGGTATGTCGCTCTTTCAAGAGTGACCTCCAGAGAAAACATGTTTGTATTGTCTAATGACGAGAAAGCTGTGAACGTTGTTTATAAAGACATTCTGCAATATGTTGTAAAAATAAAATAAATAGTTAAAAATGTAAAAAGTAAATAAGTAAAAATGTATTGTATGAATTTAGATATTCCAAAGATGGCAGGAAATCTTCATGGTAGGGGGATTGTTTTACTCCAAATTCATAGGGAAAGGGGGATTGTTTTACTCCAAATTCAACGCGTGCGGGCCACGGGCAGTAATGAATAAATCAAAACTGCTGGATCGATTTTAATAACATAGGCTATATATTTTATACGCCGCTATGTTTTTATATACAACGTTCACAGTTTTTCTGTAGTGTATTTAGTATCAGCATTGCACCCGTGCGAAGCCAGAGCGGGTCGCTAGTATTTTATAAATAATGCATTAATGGTGAATAGTAATGAATTAAAATTTATTGGTAATGATTTCAGAATCTTTTATGAAGAAATACATTATCTCGAAAAAAATTAGTTGAATAAATTTGAAAAATTAATACCAACAGACCTAAACAGCGAGGAAAATAAATTATTAGACAAATTTCTACATAAAAATAAAAAGTCCTTTTTTATTAAAGGTCACAACTTAACAACAACTACTTGTGTAAAACACATAATAATAACAAGTTCTAATAAACCAATATATTTTAAAAAATGTAGACATCCAGAAATTTTAGAAAATTAAGTAGAATCACAGATCACCGATACGATAAAACAAAATATAATTCGTCATAGCAAATCCACGTAGAATTCTCCCTTATGGATTGTCAAAAAGAAATCTGATGATTCGCAGCAAAAATGGTGATTAGTTATAGATTTTAGGAAACTCAATGAAATTACTATGGATGATTAATTCCCACTGCCAAATATTGAATCTCTATTTGACAAGTTGGGTCCCTACCCACAGCATTTTTCGTTGTTGGACCTTGCTAAAGGTTTCCATCCAATTTTGATGGAAGAAAGCGTTATTGAAAAAATCACCACTTTTTAACGAATGCTAAATCATATTTTGTCCCATTTGACCATATTAATAAAATTCGTATCATCAGTTTGGATGACATTCTAGTTTTCTCAACTTCGTTAGCAGAACATTTCGACGTCTTACAAAAAATTGTTGGTAAATTTATTGAATATAATTTTCAGATAGATAAATGTAAATTTTTAACTAAAGAGACAAACTTTCTCGGCCATGTTATTACAAGTATTATTCCTTTACTAAATCCAAATCCGGAAAAAATCAGTGATATACAAAAACCGTAGATCAAATTAAATTTTTTTTATTTTTAACTGAATATTATCGAAAATTTATTAAGAATTATTCTTTACTAGCGAGCCCAATAATGAAATGTTTAAGTAGAAAAGTCCACCTTTGTTGGTTTATGCGAATTCACAAAAAAAATCGTATTAACCACTGATGCAAGCAATTTAGCAATAGGTGCGGTATTAAGCCAAGAGGGTAAACCAATAAGTTATGCTGGTAGGACTTTAAACGTTCACGAGAAAAATTACTCAACCTTAGAAAATTTTGTCATTATCCTTATGACGGTAAATATTTAGTTCCAACGGACCATCAACCATTGAAATGGCTTTATACTATACTATAGGCTCCGAATTTTCGAATAATCAGAGGGGAAGAAAATTTGAATTCGAATTTTTTATAATAAATAAAATTTTTAATAAATATCGGATATAGATAAGTATAGTAAAAATAAAAACAAAGAAACTGAAGTACTTTAAAAAAAAAATATATATATATATATAAAATATGCATTATATAAATGATTTATTGAGAAGAGAATTAAAAAAAAGTAAATTTGGAACTGTACCACATGAAACCACACATAATATAATACAAAAAAAATTATTAGAACTGTTTTGTATATAAATTATAATAAATTAAATTTCATAAAATGTACTAAGCTCGCAAATGATATAGAATGTGAAGAGTCTTCATTGACTATCATTGATGATATTCACTTAAATAAGGGGTAATCACAGAGGAATTCAGGAGATTTATGAGGAGCAGAAAGATATGTATTTTTACCCAAAATTAAGGAAATATCAGAAGAAAACAAGCGTAACAAAATTGATAAAGAAAACAAGAAAAGAGAAAATAGTACATTAAATTTAAATAAATCTAATTTATATACTAAAAGTCCATATGCGAATATACAGAAATCTGCAAAGCGCTTTGTAAAATATCATTATATTGTCGTAATTGGCTCAATTTAGAAGGCCTCTAAAATCAATATTAAAAAAAACACAAACATACATTATGAAATAAATCCAATTTTCAACACTATCTTTACAATTCTTAAAAAAATATTAAAAAAAATAAGTGATGAAAAAATTCATATGAATATTATATTTGGTCTAAATATTAATCTTATTGAAAAGATTTGAAGAGATTTGAAGAGAATTAATTCTTAAAGAGAGAACGAGTTATGTATTATTGTAAAACGCATTGTGTTGTTGTAAACGAGATAATCTTTAGTTCACTCTCTCTTAGCAACTAAAATCCCAACAAATATTATTCTCTCCTTTTAGTGTTTAAGACAACAAATATTTATACCTTTTTTTAGTAATTAAGACAACGGAAGGTATTTTGTAAAAACTGTTAAGAGAAAAGTTTTCTTTGAATATATCTATCAAACCTTAAGGTTGTGGTTTTTATTTGAAGCGGAAAAATATTTAATAATTTCGGTTTACCTAATTGATTTTTTAACTTATGCATGAATGTAGAGTTTTTTTATACTAAAAAGTGAGTCTGACAGGACGTAGGTGGTGGAATGAAAATTAA